TCGAACCAGCCGCAGAAGCGGTTCTCTTGGTTCCAGGCGCTCTCACCGTGGCGGACGATAACCAAACGATGTGCAGCAGCCATGCTTGCAGTGTGTCTCCTGAGTTTGCCTTAAACCAAACACAGTGCCCTCAGCCCTTCTAAGTTGTGCACACACACTGGCTGACCAACAGTGAGCCCCAGCTAGCATGCCACACTCTTTTTATAGCCGCCAGTGCAGAGCAGACAGGCCTCCTTCACTTTCCACCTGTGAGAGGCATGCATGCCCTGATGGACATACAAGCCCAGCCAATAGAACCAGACCACCGCTGGGCTGGAGGGACATGTGGTGGCTGGGAAGGGCAGAGGTCAGATATTAGGCCAAAATAGCAACATGACTTTTAAACTGAGATCTGTGGAACAAAAGTGTAAAGATCAGAGTTGGCTGGGGTGTCTCACTCTGTGATTTTCATCACTGAGAGAGAAACTGCAGCTCATTACACTGTGAAGAGTTCATATGTTTAGTAAATATTTGGGCATTTGTTGTGTGTATAACAATGACAGTGTGGCTCATACAGGTTCGCTCAGTTTAAACTCTGAGGTTGGGGGAGATCCATGGGCAACCTGTTGCCAAAACACAGCTGATTTAACAGTCGCATACAGTATCCACTTACAGTATGTGCTTTCTCTACTGCACATGTAGCTGCAGCTACTTCTGCTACTACTTTTACTACTAAGAATGATCATTAATATAGTTGAGGTAAAGAGTTTTAAAAAAATTATGTTTTCTTCTTGTTCCTACAGTTGCATGTTTGAGTTTTACTGTGCAGAATGATGTATGTGCACAGTTTGACACTAGAAATATGTTTTTACATTCATCTGCTGTTTACTGAAAATCATATCATATCGTATAAACTTAAAGACACCTGTGCATCTTGTGCCAGGCAGGAAAACTTATACATAACATATTCATAGATTCTGACATTTTTAACAAGGTAGAAGGAATAGATGCATTTTTAAGGATTTAACACATTATTGTTCCAAGCTACTCTTTGTATATATCTAATAATACATGAGCTCTTGAGAGAACTTGATGAAAACAGAAACAGCAAAAGACACAAAGGGAGTGTACAAAAGTTTATCAGTTAAAAAAATCCTGCCCAAAGATCTTGAACAAGGTGCTGAAAAATCATCATAAAGTTTCTATTTAAAATCGTAAACAGGCACTGGAGTTGATAAAGTGTTATTTCTGTCCATCACCTCTAGGAGTTGCTCTAGTATCACTTACAGAAATAGTTTTTCACATGCTACATGTTACACTGTATTGAGTAAGACTGTGGAAGCCTGGTATTTTATCTCAAAGGTGTTACATTTTAGTAAGAAACTGTTGGGTTTACATATAAATACGATGTAATTATCCTTAGCAAGTCTCTTCAAGCATGGGCCTGGCTGCAAACCAAAAGTTCAAAGACTGCTCTGTGCAAGGAAATGGCCCTGTGTCAGTATAACATACTTTTATTATTTAATAATTCAAGTCATTCTGAGTCTTGAGTTCAGAAAAGCCTATTGTTTCAGCCTGCTGCCACTGAGACAAATAATCGAAGACAAATATTCTGCAGTATCCTTCATGTAATTTAATGTTGAGAGCAGAGATGCACTCAGGACAGACATTGAAGTGCTGATGAAGCTTGGAAACTAAGCCCCAGTGCCAAGTCAACATCCCCTGCCACTTCCAATCAATTATGATCTGTATATAGAAAAATACAGAGAAATACAATAGTTCAAAAATATAATATTAATGGAATCCCAGGCAGGACGCCAATCGAGTGATCATGAAATAGAGTTAGGTTATTGTATTGGTCAAAGTAGATAGTAACAAGGATAACTTTGGATGAGCTGTGTCTCTTTGGTTCTATGGTGGATTGACGTTAACAAAATGAATGTGAAAACATGGTTTTCAGTCTCTAAATAATTTATTATTGCTTAACCAAACAGACGAATCAGCTGTATGCTAACTGTCACAAACACCTGGTAGGTAAAGTTATAAAGTAGCTCTTTCCTATTTTCTTCACGAGTTGGTGGAGACTGAAGGAAAAATTTGAGTTTTATTTATTGGCTGGCAAAAAAAGGCTTTACAATGTTTTCATTACATTCAAGTTTCTAATTTGTGCACAAGAGAGAGAGAGACAGAGAGAGAGACCAGCCATTACTGTTTCTACCCGTGTTGGTGAACTCTGATAATATATGCTATTAGTTTTCCATACGATCCTTTTGCAGAGGAAGAACATAATATGAGCTCACTCTGTCAAACTGTTCAATCAGAGTTTGAGTTCTCAGAAGGCCAGATGTCATGTTGCACTGGGTTCTAGGGCATCTGATTGCACTGCAGCTGCTTATTCATAATGTGTGATACAGTATGTTTGTGGCGTTTGTTTTGTAGTCTGGCTAACAGTCATGTTTTGTTATGTTTTTGAAATAAAAATCTGACAATAAAGAAAAACAGAATTAAAGTGGATTTTTTCTATGTATATATATATAGCAAAATTAGCTTTAATTATTTACCATAAATGGTCAATTATAAAGCAGGCAATATTATTTATGGTGGTAGCTGTGTAACATTCAGCTTGTTTTTACATGTTTGTCTGCCCCCTAGTTGTCAAAAATTGATTAGTGTGCCTTTAAAGTGTTGACAAATACGACTTATAAAGCAAACTATTTAACTTCACATGATTGCCACCAAGCATGAGTTAATCCTAGTGAATCATTGATCCTGTACAGGTAACAGCCACTATATAATTATCCTCAATTAACAAGCAACAACCCTAGAAATTAGCACAATAAGTGAGTGCATTCATTTGGGAAGAGAAGTTAATGATCTCCTTTCTCTATTTCATTTCCCCAGGTCCTTTAAGCATCTTGTCTGCCAAAAAATGGCCCTGGTGCAGATTGTCAGACTGCTGTTCAGGTGGGAAATAGACTACACAGGGGAGTTTGTGTGATCACTACTGTTACGATGACTCAGCCTGCAGCAGAGTCCATGCAGCTCCCAGTGAAGTCCCCCACCTCTCGTTTCCTGCCTCACTTCTGTTTGGGCACAGCACTGTCTGTGAGTGCTGGGGGCCTTTGCTGCATAGGCAAATTACTGGGGCGTTCACACTATGGATCATACACATATACACGGAGGAAAAAAGGAAAATAGCGAGACACACAAACAGACGCATTTGGCTGTAAAGCACAGCGACACATTTCATTTATGCACGGAGCTCGAAAGCAAGGTGAGTTTCCCAACATTTCACCGAGCTACTGCATACCTGCAGATACACACACACACACACACTCAGTCAGTCACACAAAAAAAGAAAATGCATGTCAGCAGCTGGGTGTAATTGACCTGCCAGGGTATGTGCTGCAGATGAGAGGGACTGCTTGTCTTTTATAGAATTGAAAGAACAACCTGACAGAAGGCAAAAAAGGCTTTTCTATCACTGATTAAAAAAATAATACTTTTGAAAATAAAGAATATCTCTTTTTCTTATAAAGGTATAATGTGAAGTGGTTATGTTTTGATGATCATAACATTTACTTTTGCCCATGTCAAATCATAAGGACAACCTTATATGCCTTATTTATTACTCTAAATGTCGTTTGTCATTTGCATGTACACTACTAATTAGTAAGTACTAATTAACCAATCTCATGGACCTCTTACCTTCCGTATGGGTGAGATTTTATCACTGCAGGTATTTTAAGGTCGTGGCTGTAGTTCTCCTCTCCACCTGAAGGAGAGATGCTGTGTCACGATTGTTAAATCAGGACACCCCACCCCCACCCACGCCCTCTCTCTCTCCTGCAGTGAGGATAGCACATAGTATGTCTATGTTTTAGCCATGTTTTTGCTCTACATTATGTATTGAACTCCTCATAGTCGTTTTCAGTATTGCTGTCAAAGTCCAAGTTAAGGTCTGATGTTGAGAATAGTGATGTGCTCTGTTTCTTCTTTTGTTTGCATTTATGTTTTAGTTGCACCGTGAAGCACGCTGTGATTCATCTGTTTTATTACAAGTGATGTTATTTAGAAACTTGTCTTGGTTGAACTGTCAATGTCATAGTCAGGACAAGACAAACAGAAATATGGATCCTTAAATTCAGTCATTTTGCGACCTCTCCTCTCCTGTCTTTTCTTCTCTCAATCATTATCCCTCACTTTTTTCCCTCCTATACCGATTCCCATGGTCCCTCTCTGTCTCATCTCTTGCTGTTGCAGTGTAAGCCTATCGAGCCTGCACTGTCAGAGTTTGGGGAAAGCGCTTGCGTCAGAGCTCACTGTCCTGCTATAAAAGCGCAGGCTGCTGCAGCAGCAAGCAGTCGAGGCTTAAACCAGAGCCCTTCACACACCTCCACACGCACACACACATACACAAAGAGGAGAGGGAGAGCAGCCTGTCCTCCCACCACTCTACCATGAGTAGCATCGGATATGACCCCTACTACTCCACCACGTCATACAGACGCTGGTATGTCGAAGCCCCCCCTCGTGTTGTGACCAGAGGGAGGACCCACTCTGTCTACTCCTCCCATGCATCCCCGCTGTCCTCCTCCCGTCTACAGTACTCCTCTCCCGGCCGGGTGCTGCTCTCCTCCTCCTCACAAGCCTCTTCCCTGGAGCTGGAGCTCAGCCAGGCGGCCCAGATCAGCTCTGAATTCCGCACTGTTCGCACCCAAGAGCGCAGCCAGCTGCAGGACCTCAACGATCGCTTCGCTGGCTTCATTGAGAGAGTGCGTGAGCTGGAGCAGCAGAACCGTGCTCTAGAGGCAGAGCTACTGCTGCTGAGGCAGAAGCACGCTGAGCCATCCCGCCTGAGAGCACTGTACGAGCAAGAGGCCCGGTCCCTGAGAGCCGCTGTGGATGAGGCCAGGGCAGAACAGCAGGCAGTCCTAGGAC